TTTTCAGTCAAGAATATCCTACGAAGATACAAAATTCCACAGAATAACCGAATACGCTATAAAAATTTTTATGCCATAACTGTGTAGTGAACGAAATTCTTATGTATTTGCCGCTAAAAGCTACATTGCCCTACTGCAATTTCTGTAGTAAAATTCAAAATGAGAAAAAGTAGCTAATGGAATTCTAACAAGGGATCTGATATTCCTAGTGGCGGATCTAAAACACGACCATTGCGGCTAAGGCTCTCAAAATATCGAATAACCAACAAACAACAAAGCGTGATTTATGTATGTTATCTCCCTCCTCCATATACCATTTGCCACCCACTCTCCCCCTTGTTCAAACAGTTTCTAGACTCAGCTGGTTGTTTTGATATATTTAGATAATTATGCCACAGCCCTTCCTACTCCCACACATTATGAGTAAGGGATACCGCTGCCAGTATGAATTCATCACAGAGAGCGACAATTATTGACACTTTTACCCAAAAATAGTTACCGCTTCTGCTTCATTGAATTTACTTGGTTCAAAAGCACGAGGTTCTATAAAATTACGACATTGATTCGAGATCCCAGGTACTTGAAGTGAGACGATTCCATTGCTCCAAAGAAATATATTTCTTACAATTCAGAATTTGACCTTAGTTCAAAGCAATATGTCTTAGAAACATACCAGTTACGTCCGCAATTCAACTTGAACCTAGAGATTACACCTCATATGCCAATTGGCGAGGAAGTATTGTAATCGCGAAAAATTTCGAAAATCTGATATTGTGTTATTTGGATGTTGCATTACATGTATATAACAAAAACAATGCCATACATTTACATCGGTCTGTCTGTCCTTCTATCTGTCCGCTAATCCTTGGCTTGTCTATAAATTGGGAAGTATCGTTCGGATGTTGATGAAATTTTCACACAGGCTACTATTATACCAAGCAGAAAAAAGATTTTTAGTTTTTGAAAATCGTTCCAGTGGCGGCAGAAAAAACGACCAACAAATAAAAATTGCTCAAACTTTGGCGTTTCTTGACGTTTCGGAGAATCATGAACATTTTTTGAAAAATGTTTGCACATGTTAAACATTGGATGTTGGGGTTTGCAGGGAATGGGGGAGAGTATATGTTAGTTTTTTGTTGCTAGTAATTTATACGTTCCCAACCCCGGTAATTCTATGCACTTATTAATGTGAATCCGAAAAAATCGGCAATTATAACCTTTTCGTCAAAGCGTAGTAACTTTAGTGATGACGCAGTGAAACTTTATCTAAATGGGGAGGAACTTGTTCATAAGAAATGCGTTCGCAATCTTGAAGTTTAAATTGATGAGCACCTTATATTTCTTGAACAGGTAACTGAGAGTGTTCAAGCATCATTTGCTAAATTGATAACTTTTTATAATTTAAGAGATGTGTTGTCAAAGGATACCAAGATTGAACTAACTCCTTTATACTGAGCAAGGTCGAATATGCTGACTCTGTGTATCTTACGAGTACTTGTTTGACTGAAACGGAACTCCAATGGATACAAAAGGTGCAAAACCGTTGCATTGGGTTTATTCACGGTCTTAGTAGATTTGAAAGAACATCTTATAGTAAAAGTATTCGTTGGCTTACGATGAGACAAAGATGAACTTATCTGTTTGGGTCATTCGGTGTTACTAAGGAAGCAACCACTTTACTTGCATGTAAATATATATTTGAGAACTGACATCAATGATATTAATTTGAAATTTGTAGGTCACACTTCAGATGTTCCGAAACACAAAAGAACAGCTTTTAAAAAGGCCTTTTCATATCTAGCATCTAATTTATACAACAGGGTTCCTCCCACCCTAATAATCACGTTTCTCAGAGCATTCAAATCTGGAATCAATCAACCGATACTAGCCACTGATTTTGTATGATTTTATTTGATTTCGAATGAATTTGACTATGAGCATTTTGTTTGTTACTTTTATGTTTTGCCTATGTATGTATTAACCATTTTTTCGATATGTTTAAATCAATTTACCTCCATCTGGTTTTACCTCATGCTAAGTACTATTTGTTTTTTATTGGTATTGCTGTAATTAAATATGTAGTTTTTTCAATATTGTATACATGGAGCCCTGGTTGGCGTGGAAGAACAGCAAGCATTCGCTGATTGTCCGCCAGGTGAAAATAAAGTCTTTTAGACATATTTCATACATCTCAGGTTTTCCAGTACATTTGGCTTTAAATATTGATTAATGTTATAGATATTGTCGTTTTTTATATACATAAGCGTGCCAGACAGCTCAACGAGCGCACGCGAGTTATTGAATGATGATGCATATATAGTATCCATGTATGCAACGCAGTGTTGCGCTGCTACATTGCTGGCTGGTTGGAACTGTCGGTAGGGCGGTAATCTAGATCGCAATTTTAGCAAATCTGTGAAGACTATCATCTAATTGGATGAGCCTGTTTGACTCACTTGATCCATTTAATTCCTTTGTTATACATGTTCGTAGCAAACTGTTTTCTAAGAGGGCTAACTTGTGTCGAATATAATCATAATCTTATGCAAACCACGGAGAGCTTAGAATAAAAAGCTTTTTAAGAAAATGCCTCAAGGGATACAGTTTATCAAATCGGCTGGTTAAGTTGTACCACGCGATTTGTAGATTATACCTTACCAAGACGCATTAGATTTTCGTTGCTACTGGAACAGAAAAATACCGTGATGAACGAAACGTTTCATTCAGACAACTTATCGTTAGACATACACACATGAGTGTTCGCAGGAATTTTTCTCAAGGGAGAGGGGCGATCATCGGCAAGAGATTTCTTGAGAACCTGTACCTGCCCCCAAAAAGTCTAACCTAATTCTCAGGGTGGCGACGGCCCTCTCCGACAACTCCCTCATGCATAGAGATTATGAATTCAGAGCATGAGTGAGACACAAATTACCTTAATGAATTAACTTGGGCTATTAATCCGCATAAATCGAAAAGTTTCATTTCTGGAAAAAGAATCACATATTCGGAGCACATTCGTAAAAAAACATTATCAACGAATAACTGACAATATTTGTTTAATTCAGGCACAAAAATAAAAAATACAGCCCAGTTGACACAGTTTTTATGCTTCCAATTTGTGCATCGGCTGAATATATCCTCTACACGATATTCCGGTATAATTTAACAAGTTCTGTGTGGCACGGTTACGGGTGATTATCACAAGTTGCAATATTTATTTTTAAAAAAGCGAGATTAGATCGCTTATAATTCGATGGCCTGTTTGTTTTGAATCATCAAAAAAGCCTAAAAGCTTTTGTCTGGAGCAATCAAAACAATATTTGCCATTTGTTTAATAGAAATTATTCAAACGAGTTACAACTTACTGTATTAATGTTAACAACCTCCGGCATCCAACAAACGTGATTAAGGAAAAATCGCCAGGAATATTACTGAAGTTTATATCTTTTGGGTTATTTAGAGTGGTATCCTTTTTCTAAACAACAATTTATTATGTGAGTGTTATGAATGACAGGTATAGGAAGTCTTACTTCATCGTTAACGATAGAGTGTCAATTCCCTTAGAGATAATTTTGAGACCATCGACAAATTACTGTTGTTATAGTAAAACTTTTCTTAGTAGCCCCTTTCCCAAAAAATGCGTGGTTTCAAGCTTTTGAGGTGTTCTAGTATTTTATAGCCACCCTGCGAATATAAGCAAATTTGACGTCTAGTTTGGGGATTAAACGATCTCGGGTATAAATTAGTAAGTCTAAAAATGTTTCTCTCGGTGTTGTGGTTCAGACGAATTGCTGACAGACTGGAGATACACTCAGATTTATTTTTTGTTGCATTGATATGTTGTATTATCAAAGTAACTGTTGTACTACTTTGAATATAATAAGTTACTCTTTCTTCCCAACAATTCACTTTATCAATTGAAAAATAGTTATAGTTGTAGTCACCGGTTACATTAACGCCATATGAAATAAGTAAACAGATCGAGTCTCCGTACCATGGGCGGAATATAGCTCAGACTAATCTTCAGCGCATCTGCTACTCTCTCCAGGACGCACGAAGTGGGTAACTAACAGGGGACGCTGTTTTTATTCTCTTCCTGGAAATACTCTAATAAATTTACCACGAGCTGTCGGCCTTCTGTATTGTACGTATTTCCGGGCATTGTACAATTTTATATTGAAGATTGATAACAGGACAACTCAAATTGCACGCCGATGTCAAGTAAGGTGTCACTCTGACAAATATGGTTGGAGGGCACTCATACGTTACGACAAAGTTTTCGAGACGGAGACGCAAAACTAAAAAAGGTAACTTATTATGTATTTGAGCTTAGCGAACAAACGTTCACACACAGGGGTAGGTTGCATGTGTATGTAAGAGGGAGATGAAGATATATACGTACATATAAAGGGATACTGGTAGTCTTACTTCGACCCACCAAGAACGGTGACTACAACTACACCAAAATTAACTCAAATTTTAGGTTAGAACACATGCCACTATTTGACATATTACGATTGTGCATTTCAACTGTTTTTTTAAGGCTAGGTAGATTTCTTTTCTAGTGTCCTTTGTAACTGAGGCGAATGTCAGTATTTATCATAGGGGCAATATTTATCGACCATGTAGCCTAAGTAGGCGTCAGTAATTATTGATGCATGAGATTACGTAGAAATCCACTGTCACTAACGGAATCATCAGTAAATATGATGATATTGACCACAGTAAATACATGACATTCTAGAAACAGGAGAATGAAAGGAGGACGAAATAATTACATTGTTGCAGATATAATCTTGGATGTATACGGAACGCAGATATTGAGAGAGAAATATATGGCACCATATGGAAATCATCGCACAACCAAATGACCTCGTTGATAAATACGTCGTCTCTATGAATGGATCCCTAACAGGTGGGTGTCACCGCACTATAGAAATATTGCAAGCCTTCGTGCTAGTATGGCAAATGTGATCGTGTTGGTGATTGTGTAGACTCACCAGCAGTGCGGGAGTGCGCTCAGCGCATCGCTCGAAGAATGTTGGTGCGGTTGGTGATGTGCCCAAGAAAACTCCCGAGATGGCGAGAGGCGAAGATTTGGCTCGGCCGTGGGACAGATCGGACTGGAAGCGGCGCGGCGCCGAAGTTTAGCGGCATCGTGTGCGCCGCGGCGTCGAGGGCGCGCTTGCGCATTGGGCGCGGCGCCCACGGTGCGAGGGCGACGTGCGTGGGCAGCCGCGCGCACCAGAAAATCGATTATATCAGGGGACTAGGCACCAATATAAGTACCAGCGGCACAACAGGTTTTTTTACATGTCACCTATCTACCCACCAGTATGCCATAGCTAGACCTGGCGGAGTAGCGGGGGACGGGGACAAAAGAGAATCCAGTGCTTTAACGGAAGGCCCAGGTACTCAGACGGGTGCTAATGCTTTTACTTCCAACGCCAGTTTGCAAGGAAATATTGTACTCGCTGAAAATTTAGACAATGAGATACCACGTTTTTTTTATGTTACATGACATATATTTCGCAAAAAACATATTATTCGTTTCCTTCGGTCTATCGGTTGGTATGCCTGTCTATCTGTCTGCTAATCCTTGGTCCCCCAGTGGCGGCAGAGGTGCAGACAAAAAACTAAAAAAACGTTGTCTTAAGAGGTATCAGACACTCGTGCTCTGTTTTTAACATTCTTTGAGACGTACATATTCAGGGTGGGGATTGCGAGATCCTGATGAGGGTGTATCTCAATTCTTTGGCGTTAGCTTATTTATAGGCTTCTAACCCCTACTCCATACAATTGCTCTCAATAGGAAACGACATATTTATTCTACCCTTGCCGAGCCGACATTGTATTTGGGTGGTATTGGCCGACGAGACCTAACAAAGAGAGAAGTTGAAGCGTCGAGACTTGACTGTTGCTGAGGCTTAAACGCCCTACACACAACGATTTTTCGTACTGTATGCAGCACAACATTAACGCAGTAACGATAAATCGTGACGTACGTAGGCAAATTGGAAGCTTCGCAGTACTCAGTATTAATATTGTTCGTGTTTGAATTAAGGTTGGAACGCAAGTTGGAACGTGTTCAGGGTCACCACTACGGCAGTTACGATTTTTATTTAAGCCAGTAAGAAGATATATCGTCGGTCTCCGCACGTACCGGCGTAACTAACATTTTACAAATTTTACAGGAGAGCTAGAAATCGAAAATCAGTAATAAATGACATTGAAAATGACTGATTTTTTAGTCTGAACGTTGCGTTTTTTTTTTTTGTTAGACTAAAATGATGTAGAACCAGTTTTAACGCAGAGGCGTAAAACTATTTAAGCCGGTACGTGACAACTGTTTTCCGAATTTTATAACTTAGGCAATTTTCTGAAAATTTTAATTCTTAGCAGCGAACTGATATACAGCTACGTCACTTCGTGAGAGACTACAAAAAAATCTGTGAAATTACGGCGTAAGTCGATTTTAGATTATGTGTCATTTATGCCTGTACATGCTGAGACCAACGATATGTATGGGTCAGAATCCATCCTTAAATAATTTTTAAAGTCGAGTGGGCCTTTTTCTTCAAGTTCTTTTAATAACCTCATATGGGAATATTTATTTCTATCCAACAACCACTGTTTACACTATTTTCTCCTTTTCGCTGGTTTCTCAGCATCTTTTTCAATCAATAAAAGCGCAACTATAAAGGCTGCAGTTTTTCTTTTTGAAATTCGTGAAGACACAACCACAATTGTTTTCGTTAACAACTAGATTATTATGAACAACACTGTTCTATTTACTATAACTAAAATACACTGCAATTCATGCCACAATTTGATGATCTGCTGCAGCACGATGCATTGCACTGTGTGTAGGGAACATTGCAGTACTGCAAGCAGTACGATTTTTGATACTACCTACGGTTCAACAAGCAGTACGATAAACCCTTATGTGTGTAGGCCGTTTTAGTCGTCGCAGCTGTGACTGGATCGCCACCTTCCCAAATGCGTGCGGACTGGAAACCAATTGAATCAGTCAGTGAAAGAACCTAGTAAGTCTCAAGATTTGAATTTTTCAGGAGATGATAAAAATTGTCATTGACTAGTTATAAGGTACCTTTTTAGGCTCAATGTCCTATTTCAGTTCTACAAGACAGAAATTTCGAACAACCTTCACAATTTATCAATAATAATAGTGTTAAGAGCTCGAAAAACTGTTATGGGCTTACGTTGTTTCAGCAACAAATAGGTTAAGCAAAAATCATGTTGATCATATTTTCTTTTGCATATTATTAAAAATTACACTTGAATATTGACTTATTTGCATCCGACATGTTTTAATTTTACATATTATTTGTTTAAGGTGCTAAAGTGTAAACCCGAGTAAAGCGAACACCTGGGAATTCTAACTTCCCGTTTACATTCATACCATGAATCGGCTATCATGAAAAAATACATGACTTTTTTCAATAAAAAAAGACATTGTAATGCGATCTTGCAATGTCAGTTTTTTGTATTGCCATTTTTTGTCGCTCTCTTGATAAGGGGATGATCTGGCAGAAGCACGCTGAAGCATTAAAAACCAAATTCTAAATTGCATTTTGGTAACTCTACGGCAACCCCATGCTATGTAGAACCTCAAAATTAAGTTTAATCAACAAAGTTTGGATACACAAGATTAGATCACTTACACGTGAGAGGCTTGGTGTTTTCTCGCCAAGTTGCATTGGCGTAGTCTGCAGGTGTTGGAGACACGAACCTTGCGAACAAGCACTAAAGCCCCATGTTTTTGTCTCAAATGAGACCCTAAACAGAGACGTCGACATCCTCTGCCTAAGGGACTAAATCAAACAACTAGGACGCTTTTTGTTCGTCAAGGTTCAGTACTGTGTTTTGGAAACGTTAAGCTGTACAAGATTGTTGCGTCCCCAAGCAGTGATGATAACCTTCAGGACTCGCGATGTATGCATCTCTCCATCACCTTACTTATAACAGAAAGCAGAAATATGGGCCTAGATCCTTTTTTTTTTGGGATGGGTCGCACATGAGCAAATTTTTTCAGTTTCCTGTGAAGGTAGCGGATTCGTAAGATATCTAGAAGAGTCGCGAAAGAACTCGAGCAAGCTCCGCTGCATATCTCTTCAATACAAATGCAGGGATCAAGTCCGGACCAGAAGCTTTGTTGATGTCGTGCGACAAGAGCACCCGTCTTACGGGCAGCAAAGAGCTTGGAGAGCACTTCCGCATTAACCTTTGAGTCGATTACAATCGTTCCATCCCGATACGTAAGAGGTGGAGGGCTACTCTGTGAGAAGTTCCTTTCATTCTGCTTGGCCAGTGTCTAGAAAGACCGACTGCCATTTCGCTGCAGTATTACCCTGTGCCTAACTCTCGTATCGTGCTGGACTCTGGCATTGCAGACCGCTTCGTTGTATTTGTTTCTGGACTCGACGTCGCGTCCGTTGTTTTCTCTCTACATTGGGGTTTTGCTGTATGCCTTGATGTTCTGCTGACCAGCATGATTTGTTGACACAGCCATGGGACGGGGTTTAGGCACTTTCACTGTATGATGCATGTATTCCTCCATCCTAACGTGAATAATTCCGGATATGGATGAAGAGACAGCCGATGCATCCGCGTCAGCGAACTCGGGGCAAAAAAGTAAGGCTCGTCACCAGCTGGGTCAATCCGTGTGTAATAGCGAACGCCTGCTGCAATCGGTCTTGTTTGAGCCCAACCAAAGCTCATTATCGGCATTGACATCACCGTCACCGGCCATCCCAGTTATGGTCGAAGGGAGGGCGATAAAGGCAGCAAATAAATTTGTGGGATGTTTTGGAGTTGAGGCGGAGCCACAGATTGACCTTCCGGTCTGATTCCAAAGAATCGTCTGTGGAGCAGGAAAGACTGCTGTGGGCAAAAGCCACAATTCCCCCCGTACTTTCTGAGATTGGACTGCACCTCGTAATTTGGGAAGCTTAGATGATAAATCATCCCTTAAACTGACGCACTTTCGCCTGTTTGCTCCTTTTTCCTTTTTCTCTCCTTCCCTTCTTTCTCCCTGGCTTTGTCTGGCATCTGGACTTTCAATACTTTAACCTCCTACGGACCGCTCTGACAGACAATGTCGAATAAAAGGATGAACAGCTACTTAAAATATCCTCATCCTCGTTTTACTTACCGCATTAATTGATAAAGAACTATTATGAGAGGATGATTCCGTTAATCGGAAACGTTGAAAAATTATTTGAAGGTAAAGTTTTTAAAATTCCCAAAAATATTTTCATTATTTCCCAACGTCTAATCGGTGTAGGGCGAAGTCAAAACGACGTTTACGAGGTAAAACAATCTGAAAACGAGTATTTCTTATACTTCATGTTGGTGCTCCTAGAGTTTTAAGTAGATCAATATAATTTCCAGGGAAGTACTTAGCCTTTGACTCAATGTTTTGCTTTTTTATACGCGAGTCCGCTCCTCACCACAACCGCTGATTTATTTACGTAGGTGGATACCTTTTGAATCTAACCTTTTTTTATCTATCCATCGATAACTTTTAAACTCAGTTTGTCAAAGTTGAAATCTAATTATAAGGAGTTCGGTGAGAGAGGGAGCCCTTAGTTATCTGTCTAGCGTCCTCTACGATTTTATAAAAGGCTCCCAAACTAAATAAGCAAAGCACCGTTTGTTTTGCGTTCTACTTATCGTTAATTGGATTGTTTTCAGTTAAAACATCAACGACTGAAGGTTTTCTACAATCAAAAGAATACATTTAGATGGGATGCTCCAAAGTATAATACTTATTGTTATATTGAATTTAATTATCATTATCAAGTTGAAATATTCTGATACTTGAATAGGAAGATTCAGTAATAAATTCAGGAGTAGCCTTCGTGTTTATCTGGCGCTCTACGGCGTCATTTCAAAAATGAATGATCATTATGATCTCAAATATTATTTAAAAGGTCATGTTATAAATACAGACTTCTGCGTTTTAAATGGAGACTTCAACATAAACTTCTTAGATAGTAACAATTTGCTTGTTCATGAATATCTTAACATGTTGTCTATACTAAACTTCGCCTCAATTGTGAATATTCCGACTAGAGTGCTTGGCGCCTCATGTACTTGTATTGACCACATTTTTTTAAGAAGAAAACAAGATAATCA